ACTATACACATCTTGGGAGTGCTATTCTTCTTTTCGATGTAAAGAAACTGTTTTGATATTGCTGCCAAAAAGAGGGGCTTAGAAATGTTTAATCATTCAGTCTATGGGATTATAGGTTTTAGACAAATCTGTCTAGTCAGCTGGACTTAAATTAACCGTAAATATATCGCTCTAGATAAGAATTTTGAGGCATATTCGTTAGTTTGACGAGTACCCTTAAAAAAGGTATGGATGAATACGTAATACTTCGCAAACTATTCGTCAACTCTAATAGATAAGTATAAGTTAACATCATTAAACCCCAATTTTGGGACGAGTATTTTTACCTCGTCAGATTATTTGATTATCTTGGAATCGGATCGGAAGCTGCCCTAGCTGGATCCTCTCCTCTTGGAGAAAGATTTCACCCTGCCTAAATGACTATAATAGCCAAGAAATGGCAAAGGGCACGAAGCATCGTGCAGGATCATTTTGGAGCCAAAAATTGAATGACAGTATCAAACTTCTGTTGTTATTATATTGCCACATTTGAATACAACTAACTAAAAGTTTCTGTGTTACAGAAACAATTATGTAAATCCCTTTTTGTTGCTCTTCTTTTCGAGATAACATTAGTGCTAAACACCTAACAGGTCTAAGAAATGACATGCATATCTTGATTAGAGGAAGTCAGGGACGGTAAGGTGCTTTGGATACCAGAATTTATAATTACCTATATAGCATATGAATTAGTAATTTTTCCTTAAAGAAAAAAGGTCAGCAAAATTATTTTGAGAGAGAAGAGACTATAATTCCTGCAATCTTGCCAACTGTTGATTTAGGTTTACGCCTTATCACCTCGAATTGAGGTTAACCGACAGCTGTATGCAATGTCTGGTCTCAAGAATTTTCAAGTTGACCTAGACAGTTGACCTGTTTTTGTGGATCTGGTCTATCAGGAAGCGAAATAATTGATGACATTTTATCGTCAACGGTCTCTAACTTCTGAAAGCGCTTTAATGTTAGTATTCGCGGGAAAAAATGCCCCTAAAGTTATTTTCTTTTTTTCTTTTTCTTGGTGCAGTCCACTTGCGTGAGCTTTAATTATCACCATTATACCCACTAATGACTTCCTGTCCAATTATCTTTATTAACACTTCCCATGTAAAATGAGTCTTTAGGAAGTTGTGATGCATCCTTTGTCCTGAGCAGGATTCACGCAGTTAATTGACAAAATTACTTTTTCCCACGCTTGAAACGCGGTAAAACAAGTTGTCAAACGTAATTTATCTCTCCTAAAAAGTCTAAGACGGTCAAGATTGATTATAAGGGAAAGAAGGGATCATGAGGCTATGTTCCTTCGAAGGCTTATTTTTAGTCAAGGCATTAAAAAAATTCACCTTAATTAAGACTCGAAAATTCAATTTAAGAAAAAGCCACAAGTATCGTATTGCCTGTAAATTTAAAAGATCTCAGGGGAGGATTGCTTTGCAAACGAAAGCTTACAATATCAGCTTTAGATCTGACTAATACATAATTCATTTCATTTCAAAAGTAGGAGAAAATCTGGGTGAATTTAAATGGAAGTTTTTAAAAGTAGATCTGAGGAAATTATTTGTGATAATGAATGCGACGACAATGGAAAGGATCAGTGCCAACGATACCTGCTCGATGCAACCACGAAACTGGAGTCGCCAGCCATATCTGCGTGATTCAGCGTCGAATAATGCTAATTTTAGTCGTCTTTTCTTTTACTTTGCTGCCAATTGCCATCGCTTTGTTTATGTTAGCGGTGTTGGTGATTACTAGAGTCTGTTCGACTTCGAATATTGGCGGCGCACTGGGGGGGGGGGGGGGGGGGGGTATATTCCCCAAGGATTAGAAGGTGCACTGCATCCAGGCTATAAGTTTTTCGGAAGTACTAGAGCCAGTAAAACATCAATTTCAGAAATTAAAAGATTCTTTAGGTGGTAAAATTATAGCAGTAGGAGATATTTTGAGTATGTTCATGAGCTTTATTCATTCCATGAATAGGGTCATTATTTGAGTTTCTTTTCAAGGCAGCCTATGTTCAGTAACACAATCATTTTTCTATCGTTTTCCTACTAACCCTTTAACTCAAAGCGAGTGACCAGGACAGAAGTTTTACTTACAATATGACTATAATATCAAACAGAAAAGTGGCGAGAATCAAGACAAATATAAAGGCAATTAGGGGATTCCTGGTTGATCCAATACGAGATTCTCGGAACCATCACCGTAAGAATTGTATGGAAAATAGTGAGGAGAATTATGAATGGAATCTTGAAATCAACCAGAAGAGGAACAAGAGGAAATTCTCCCCTTGTGAGAACCAGATCTGGATACTAGATTTATGGATAAATCGATGCGTTTTATTATGAGGGCATGCAGTGAATAGTGCAAATGCGTTTAAAAAAATAGTGTCAGAGAGTGTTAAAAAACTGAGTTAAAAGTTAAATCTTAAAAATCAAGAGTTTTTTTACTTATATTGCATTTATACTTCTTATGACCAGTAAAATCGAAATGCCCAACGGGAAACGTCACTTCACTCATCCAAGTACTGGTAATCGCCATGTTAATTTATTTCAAACATACAAACACCATAAATAAGTCTACCTGAGATATTTGTTTGATATGACTGTTACATTGCTCATAAAAGAAAAAAAACATGGCAGCATATTGGCCCACCATTGTTTCCTTAGCGATGAGGAATACTGATTATAGCCGTAATAGGATTGTCTGACGCAGAATGATTCAATCTTGACACAATGTCTTTGTTGCTGTTGTTATTATTATTATTACTATTATTGTTATTCATTGTTTTATTTTCAACATTTTTTTATGAAAGTTATGAATACAAAATGTTATCAAATAAAAATACATTTCTTTCAACAAAACAATCACACTACCTATGAATGAATAAGGTCAAGATATTACCAGTCATTGCCTTGGCTAGAAGTTTTTTTTGGAGCTAATTGTAAGGAAGCATCAGAGGCCGTATTGCAATGCTCCTAGTTCACGAGAACAAACTTTACCTTTCTTAGTTTTTCATCTTAATTCGTAGTATTGACAAATATTGATAACAGATGGAGTGGGAATGACAGAGGGGTGTATTCTTTTATCATAATAAGTTTATTACCTTAGCCATCAAGACGGCTGAACATATTGGGCCTCCTGGCTTCCCCGGGCCAGTAAGTCCTCCAGGACTTAAGGGATCAGGAGACTTAAGAGCACGTCATTTTAAATCAAAGAGTGAAGAAACACCCCTGGTACCAGCACGCTACTTGTACATATTGAAGAACCGACAGTTGGTACATCTATACTTTTCATTTGGAAAAAAAGTGGATAGATAACTAAAGAGATAAAAAGATAAATAAATGAAATAGATGAAGGAAGGGATTTCTAAGTATGACATGTCTTTACCTCTTCGACAATTCCTACAATCTATGAAAACAACCCCAAGTAATTAGAGACTTAAATCAAGTATTTTTTAATTTATTTTTTCCGTACCGCGTGACATCCTACAGCAGATTCTCTCCTCTGGTGGCACAGTTTCATGAAGCTATAAAATTCAAATAAATACCTCTAGACATTCCCAACGAAATTATTGATAACATGACCGAAGTTGGGCAGGAGAACCTCTACTTCAACATGGAATACAGCTGGAGCCTGCGACAATTTTAGGGTTAGAAATGAAGCTCCTTTGGCAATGCCAGAATCGGAGAGCACATGTGGTAAAGTTTCGCTGTCTTTCCGTTGCTCTGACTGTCATTGCTGCCGCTTCCTTCCTGACAACTGCTGCCACCTTGGTCTTAGCGATGATGCTGGAACGAAGCAATCCTTCGACAACTTAACACTCCATAGTGCCTTTGTGTGTCAAGTTAAAATTAAAAGTGGACATCCTAAAAATGGAAATTATTAATGTGAAGTAACTATTATTGCTAATTAGTCCCATATGAACATAAAAATAAGGATCTTCTGGTTTTTTCTCCGATATTCCTGAGTCGATTTGGAGATAGACATCTGCGCGTGATTTTTCTCTTTCTTCCGGGAAATCAAATTCAGGAAAAGGCGCGAGGCATCTATCCCAGTGTAAATCACTTGAGTTCAGAAATGATCACTTTTCTCACTTGATTTCCCTTAAAAATTATTTTTATCACAAGGTTCTAGGATGAACCTTTCTCCTTGTAGATCGAGGAATAACAAATTTTATTGAATCAAAGCGTTTATTCTAAGTGCCAAATCGAAATTATACCCTGATAAGGATTTGGGTTGTGTAAGTGTCGTCAGTGAATAAATCATATTTTACCATAAATGTAAAAATTCTCGTGCGCCTTTTGTTGATGAATAAGATTAAAGTTTCTCTTGTTTTGTTTGAAAGAGGTACGTGATCGATCTCGCGTTCAGAGTAATATTTAACGTGAGTAAGTATTAAGGAATATATGTGATCAGACATGTTTTGAGCAGGAGTCACGAGACACATGAAAGCTATATTTTCTTTGTCATATTAATTACATCCTGTAGACTGAAAAAAAAATACAGTTATGTATCTTCTCAGTCGCAAGATTGCAAATCGTGATGATCAAAGCCATTCTTAAATACGTTATGAACAAGGTCATAAATAACAACACGGAAATTAGACTAGAAAACAAAGATGGAGATGGAAAAACAAACAAGAAAAAGGAAACTGGAACCCACGAGGATGTATCCTTAATAAAGATCAATTCCACTTTTGTTCAAACACGGATCTGGAGAAAATTCTTGACCAGTATTACCTATTCCAGATAAGTGTTTCTCCTTGAAAAACATCTCTAACATTAATGAAAATGACTTGAACTATTTACATCTTAAACACCAAAGCTATGCGCTCCGACCGATGAAAGGAGTACCCCAAAGGTCAGGAAATGTAGAAACATAAAACCAATTCCTTTTCATCAAGGTATTCTGGCGGCAAAGTCTCACGAGGATTAATACTAAAGGTTTCTTTAGACACCACTCAGGTCGCCTTCTTAAATGACTTATATTTCACATGATTCGGCCTCGAGGACATACGTGATCGGACATGTTTTAAGTACGAATCACGAGGCTGTTTAGGACGGTGTGGTCTAAACATTACAGCGATCTTTTCTTGGTCACTGTACTGGCTATCGTAAGATTGGACACCTTCATGATCGTAAAAGTTCGAGGATAATCTCTCTCCAAAAGATTCATACACAATGAGCGAGCTTACGAATAACAAAACCGAAATTGGACAGGAAAATGTTTATAACGAGATGGAATACAAAGGAGAAAACGAAGATGGAACCTATGAAAAAGTTATTGTTAAAAATGAAAGTCCCCAAGAACGACTAAGAGAGAGAGCACAACGGTATAAAGATTCAGGAGAAGTAAAATCGCGCTACTTCCCTTTTGTTGTGACTGCCATTGCTATTGCTTCCCTCTTGACAGCCGCTGCCACCATGGTTTTAGCCTTTGCAATGACCAATTCACGAAGCGATGTTTCGACAACTAGAGAGTCTTGTTGCGGTAAGCAAAACATCATACTAATCATTTCGAAGTGGATGGATTCCATGTACCATGATAATGCGATGTCACTCAAGAAAAAAATTAATTTCCCGAAACACTCTTTAGTTCATAGGGTATTTAAATATAAAAGCTTCCGGTTGCCAAGGCGACTTTAGAGTCAACGAAGTGATCAAACTCAAACGATTCTTTTGTATGCCAAGTCTCCTTGAGTTGAAATGTGGTTATTTTTATAAAATGTTGTCTGTCAGGGCCTCCATATATTTTTTGTAATTCAGAAAACAGAGCATATAAGGCATATGTCCCTAGAACTGAAGTGCGCTGACAATTTTAATTGACGTCGAATCAAGTCACGTGAGGGAAGGGCATAGGGTAAAATGTAGACTGGACTATTTTTTTTGGACCATTCTATAGGGGCGGGGGAAGCACACCACTAGTTCTCACACCACTAGTTCTCATCGCTTTTTGAATGACTTTTTGTATGACAAAATTTTAGCGCTGGGCCGCGGCGTTTCTTCATTTTTTTGTCATGCGAAAGCGAAACTGCCAAGTAAACACTGGACTTTAATTTTTACTGAAAATATCGTGTTTACGATCCTCAGTCCAACTTTTGCACCATCAGTTGCTTCACGTTTCCCTTTGTGTATACAGTATGTAATTACTAAATTTATCTATCTTCCTTTTGTCATTGATCTTATCAAACGAGATCACGGAATTTCCGGTTCTTAGCCCTTAACTTAGTTGCATATAGAATTTACAAGCGTTATCGCAATTTTAAGGCTGATACCTTTACTGTATAAGATCATCAGTGAACGATCCATGTTCTTGAATCGACCAAAAACACTGCTGTACTTGCAAAATGGGAAAGCGCAAATATCGATTTCATCCGTTTCGCAAACAAAGGAGTAAATCACCGACACCGGAAATTGCGACCAGGTGTTCCTCGCGACTCCCTAGGTTTGTTTTCCAATTTGCCCGGGCCGCTGCCGATCACTTCTTGCGTAAAGCAGGTGTGGCTACTGTTGCTCGCCGATATTTTCCGTCGGCAAAACGTAGAAGTCCAGTGTTCACGTGGCAGTTTCGCTTTCGCATGACAAAAAATTGAAGAAACGCCGCGGCCCAGCGCTTACAATTTTGACATACAAAAAGTCAGTCGAAAAACCAATTCAAATAGTTTGTACGATCGAGTAAAAGCTCCATTACGCAGCAGTGATTACTATCACAACCACCCCCTAAATAGTGTTGGAGGCACAATTGTACTATTCACACAATACCAATTGATTGCCAAAATTTTCGAGCTTATGATGTCAATTTAAAATTATGGTATTAATTGAAAAAACACTCCTCCCAAGTAACTTCAAAGTAACCACTCTTATTGACTCTGACTACTTTAGGAATTTTGGGCAGATCTAGGAGCCAACGTCATTGCTGCAAGACCTATGTGCTGTTGTAAGACTCGTTAGTCCTTTGTGGCCATGTAGCCAGCAGATAATAATTTGCTCATCAATGAACCCTTTTGCAACGTTTAAGTGTATAAGTAAACTCAACTATTGTAAGAGCTACGTGCTTGCAAAATTTCACTTGAGGCCAATAAACCAGGATGAAAACATCATCAGCTTTAACGTTAATTAATTAATTAATTTATTTATTTATTCATTTTTCACTTCAGAAATGACAGAAATTAACAAAAATCTACAAGAGTTGAAAAATAACTTCTCGGCTCCTAGAGAATCCTCGGTAGGAAAAAAAGTTTTTTTTTTATCTTTATTAACCTTGAAAAGAAATTTATGGCGTTTTCAAATCTATCGGGACAACCACTTCTTTCACAAAGTGTCATGTCACCATGCGTTTTTCCTTTTAAGTTTATTTCGTCTTACTCTTACTTTATTTCATTTCTATTCCTTCCTTTTCCTTCCCTCCTAATTTTATTTCTGTCAAGACACTTTGACTCAAAATTATGGAGAAAATTCGTACATTTGGGAATAAACTACGTAAGAAATTATAATGTGGATGTCTTAAGATGTAAAAGAACCAAGAGTTATCCAGCTGTTTTTAGTTTTATCGCTATCGTAAATTTTCATCATCAGCCACAACGTTATTGCCATTTCCTACTATCATTATTGTTATATTATCTCTTATTTGCATCGAGCATGCCAAGAAGTGTACATGTGGCCTTGTAACATAAGAGAAACAACTAAACAACTAAACACCGAAGAGATAACTTAATCGTGAACACTGTTCAATTTTTTTGGTGAAATAGGTCTCAAAGAAGTTAAGGGAATTGGACGCTGCATTAGCTAACGTAAGTTTTCCACTGAGTGCTTGGCAACTGCTTAAATATCCTAAGACCTCTTTAAATAAAAAAAGGAACACTCTTTCTGCGTGGCTTTGAAATTGTGGGATGATTTAAAAGTTTTCATTGGTTAATCTCAGTTCTTATTTCTTTTGTAGATGAAAAAGGAGTTGGAAATTATGAAAAAAAAAGTAAGTCTCAGTCACTCTGAATTAACAGCAAATTTCATTTGCAAATAGTTCATAATGATATTCATTGACTGATTTATTTATTGACTAAGGATTATTGTTTCTGTTGGCCTTTTTTTATCATTATTTTTTTATCATTTTTGAATAAGGAGGGGGTTCGTCTAAAGGTGCATGAGAAGAAATTTTTGAATTTTCAAAAACAAATTGTTGAACTGGAAGAACAATTATTAATCGTTAAAATGACTGCCTAAATGGATCACCTGTTCTACTCATGGACACTGTAATTTTGTTGTTGTTGTTGTTTGTCGCTGTTGCAGCTGTTTGTTTTGTTTGTTACATTCAGGTATAGACAATTATTGTCTTGAAAAGTTGATGTGTTACTCGATATCTGTTGTTAGGGGGAAAATACACCAGAATTGTGGTTCACTCTGAATGGAACTGTGCATGAGAAGGTTTTCGATTTTCAAAAACAAATCGTTAAACTGGATCAGAAGTTAACAAAACGGAGTCTAATAAGCCTGAAATACAGGCAATTAGAATCAAAACTTTAGTACAAAAGTAAGCACGCTATATTGGGTAATCTCAGGCAGCTGCTGTTTAAGCTAGAAGAAAATAGTTAAAACTTTGAAAAAAAAAGTAGATGCTATATAAGAATGTTTGCGAGTATGCATGACTCACGTGTTCAATACGTAGTTTAAGATTTTAAAAATGTTACTCTTCGTCAGATTAAGCAATGATACCTGCAAGTGAGCTATAGTTTCAGCAATTTCAGAAAAAATACCTGAATTTTTGCTTACAAAGTTCTATAATGCAACTGTTGCTTAAATATATTTTATGGTGCAATTATATGTATAACATTGTTTATAAACCTTTATACATCAACCATACATTTGCTATTTAATAACGAGACTCTGACGAAGTAAAGTAGTTGCAACGTGTTATTTTTATTTTTTAGGTAAAGAACGTTAGTAAGATGCCTGGTCCTATCGGACCTCCGGGCTACAACGGAAGTGAAGGACCTGCAAGTCGTAGTGGATCATCAGACTTCAGTCAATGTCAGTTTGAAATAAAAAGTGCATCTATGATCCCTGGTAGCAATAGAATACTTGTACATATCGATGAACCATCAGTAAGTACATCTATACTTTACATTTTAAAAATACGAATAGGTAAATCAACAGATAAAAAGGGATTTCTAAATGTAACATGTCTTTACCCCTTTGACATTTCCTACAATCTAAGACTACGACCTCAATCACTAGGGGACTTAAACCTAACATTTCTGAATCAAGCCCAATCAGGAGGATGTTAAATGATCTTGCACAATTGCTATTGTGAGGTGAACAAATACAAAAAAGTGATGTAGAGCCTAGCCTTTCTTAAGGCCAGACGTTATAGTTATAATGCACACCCACCTTCGCATCCTGTCACTTTGGTGTACGTAGAAGAATGTCTTTAAATTGACTGGCGGAGATAAATGCAATTTTCTAATAAGACATTATTTCGAAAATGTTTGTTTTGATTGTGCATTTGCTTGACCAAATACACAATCGTATTCGCAGGGTTTGAATGGATTTTTCTTGATTCACGAGCTCTGCCTCTGTAAAATTAAAAAGCTGACTCATCTTTTCTTTATGCATATTATCAATTGTAATCTCAATATTTTTCTCGTGCAAATTTGGAATGAACAAGCAATGGTTCGTGGAAAAAATTTTTCGAGCTTATCCGAACTAAAAGACCTTTGTAATGATGTGATTGTCAGTATAGATAACATAACAAACGTGTATTTCTTTATTTGTTGACAGAATAAAAGAATAATGGCAGTAACATGCTCAACGGATTACGGCACTGAGTATAACCTTATGTCGAGGACACAAGGTGGCGTCCGGAGATACGTTTGCACCTGTAATGGAAAATCCACACTTTTCAGTGGAGGAACTAGTTGCTACCTAAACTATTGGATTTGCCCCTTAACAACGTAATTACTGTACTATAAAGATATCGTCAATTTCAATACAAATAATGTTTTTAGTTTTTCAGAGAGGCTGCATAACGCAGAGAGAAGAATCATTTAATTAGACTGATTATGTAGCAAATTGGGCAAATCATCGTGGTTAAGTATAAAGGACAAAATATTGAATTTCTTTCCACATTGGTTCAACTGTCTGAGGTGTGCTAAGGTGCATCATCGTTGGATAAAAAAAATGTTGGCTAGTGTTATGGTGAAATAAGAATTAGAAGTGAACAAAAGTGAAGTGAATCCAATAATTGAAATAAAATGCATGCTTATAAAAACGATTGTCTGCAGGTATTAAACTACTATTACATGTCTGTAAGCATGACGTCATAATTACGCAACTGAAGACTATCGTCTGCAGGCATGACATAACGGTTAATGTCGTTAATGCAGTGAATCAGAGAGCGGATGTGGTAACGTTTAGCTGTCTTTTCGTTGCCACCTCAAAGCTTTTATTGTAAATGCCAAATCGACATTCTACCCTGATAAAGATGTGGTGTGAGTAAGTGCCGTCTGTTGGACCCTCTGCATATTTCAATTTCACATTAAATGTGAATAAGACACATTTTACCATAAATGTAAGAATTCTCGTACGCCTTTGATTGAAGAACTAAAATTAAAGTTCCTCTTGTTTTGTTTGAAAGAGGTACGCGATCGATCTCGTATTCAGTACTTAAAAGGACTTGAAATTTGCCAGCTGACCTATCAAGTAGAATTTTCCCTTTAAAATGTCAATCTGTTGAGCCTCGTGGTTTTGTTTTAACCTAAAATCGTTTGGCGCCATTTGGTTGAGCAGAAATTGTTAATTACACACACAAAGAAAACAATGCGGATTTACCCGGTTCAGGAAGCAGATCACAGCAACGGAGTTTCACTTTTTATCAAGGCATCCCCCAAATAAAAGTCATTCCTTGCATGATATGTTGTGAAGACTCGCGGCTAAGTGTTGAGCGCAGCGGAAGAGTAATTTTGTAATTTTTTATAAGATTTAAATAGAAATCGTACAAATGAACCAACCATCATTATTTTAATAAAAATCGTTATTATTTTTATCATCTCCTCTATTATTGAGGTCATGTTACCAATTTATAAAACTATGATGAACTTTGAGAAACAAACTGGCCATCGGTTTTACATTTTTATATATAAAAAAGATGACTGAACAATAGTTAACTCGGGACAACAGCGCGCCCACATGACGCTTATTGACTAATAATATTGGCATGACGGGCACAATGTCCACTTCTCCGTTAGAGCCCAAATAGAGCTGGTAATAACCAATCACGTCTGTGAATTTTGTAAAAGATTTTAAAATTTTTTCTATACAATTTTAAATATTTCAAAATAAGATAACCGATGTCTATCGAAGTGAATATTCTTTTGATCTCAATGCTTTGGCAAAGATGCTAAAGATTGAAAGTACAGTCGTATGAAGTTTATGCAGATACCGGAGAAAAATTTGGGCGCAATCTTTTTCTAAAAGTTACATACATTACGAGCGAGCTTTTGGGAGACAAGACAGAAATCAGACAGTAATATTTAATGTGAGTAAGTTTTAAAGAAAAATTTGTGACCAGACATGTTTAGGGCAGGAGTCACGAGACACATGTCACATTTATTACATCCTATAGACTGAAAAAAAAAGATACAGTTCTGCATCTCCTATGTCGCATAACTGTATTTTTTTTATATAGACTGCAAATCGTGATGATTAAAGCCGTTTGAGGGTAATCTCATTCTTAAAGCTTAATGCGTTATGAACAAGGTCATAAAGAACAAGACGGAAATTAGACTGGAAAAAAAAAGGATGGAGATGGAAAAACAAACAAGAAAAAGGAAACTGGAACCCGCGAGGATATATCGTTAATAAAGATCAATTCCACTTGTTATTCAAACAATATTACCTATTCCAGAGAAGTGTTTCTCTTTCAAAAACATCTCTAACATTAAAATGACTCGAACTGTTTATATTTTAAACACCGAAGCTATGTGCTCCGACTAATGAGAAGAGTACCCCAAAGGTCAGAAAATGTAGAAACATAAAACCAATTCCTTTTCAGCGAGGCATTCTGGCGGCAAAGTCTCACGAACATTAATACTAGATTTTCTTTAGACACCGCTCAGGTCGCCTTCTTTAATGACTTATATTTCACATGATTCGGCCTCGAGGACATACGTGATCGGACATGTTTTAAGCACGAATCACGAGGCTTTTTAGGCCAGTGTTGTCTAAACATTACAGCGATCTTTTCTTGGTCACTGTACTGGCTATCGTAAGATTGGACACCTTCATGGTCGTAAAAGCACGAGGGTAATCTCTCTACAAAAGATTCATACACTATGAGCGAGCTTATGAGTACCAAAACCGAAATTGGACGGGAAAATGTTTATTACGAGATGGAATACAAAGGAGAAGACGAAGCTGAAACCTATGAAAAAGTAATTGTTAAAAATGAAAGTCCCCAGGAACGACTAAGAGAGAGAGCACATCCGTACAAAGATTCAAGAGAAGTAAAATCTCGCTACTTCCTTGTTGCTGTGACTGCCATTGCTGTTGCTTCCTTCTTGACAGCCGCTGCCACCATGGTTTTAGCCTTTGCAACAACCGATTCCCGAAGTGATGTTTCGACAACTAGAGACTCCATTGCGTCTTTTTGCGGTAAGCAAAAACTCATATTGAGGTGGGAAGAGGTAATATACCATGATAATGCGATGTTATAAAATTCCCGAAGCACTCTTCAGTTCAAAGAGCATTCAAGCATAAAAGCTTTAGAACTAAAGTGCGCTTTCACTGTCTGAGTCACGCCATGTGAGCGAAGGCGTTAAGTTTTACATACCTTTAATCTATCTGTGACTGTAAACCAAGCTCATCTTGTTTACTCATTTTTTTATTTATCTATTTATTATTATAATTGAAACAAGAATGAATAGGGATATGCTACATAACACACACACGGCTAAATGAAGTCTATTTGTTCAATATATGTGGAAATATTCATTGATTAATTAAATTTTTTTAATTTGTTATTTTATTTTCAATTTAGAAATGTCAGAAATTAGCAAAAATCTACAAGAGTTAAAAAAGAACATCTCTGCTCTGACAGAATTCTCGGTAGGAAAAAATTTTTTTATCTTTATTAACCTTAAAATGTATTTTATGGTGGTCTCAAATCTATTGAGACAACTACTTCTTTCACAAACTAGTACGTAACCATGCGTTTTTCCCGTTAATTTTATTTTCGCTTTCCCTTGCTTTATTTCATTTCCTCTCATTTTTTATTGCTGCCAAGACACATTGACTCAAAATAAGGAGTAAATCCGCATATTTACGAATGAAACTGCAAGAGAAATTGAAATTTTGATGCCTTACAATGTAAAAGAACCAAGAGTTATCTAGCTATTTTTTTAGTTTTTATCACCATCGTAAATTGTCATCATCAACTCCAACGTCATTGTCATTTCTATCATTATTGCTGTATTATCTCTGATTTGCATCGAACATGCCAAGAAGTGAACATGTGGCTTTGAAGCATAAGAGAGTCAAATGAAAAGCATTGAACAATTAACTACCAAAGAGACAACTTAATCGTGAACACTGTTCAATTTTTTGGTGCAGCAGGTCTCAAAAAAGTTAAGGGAACTGGATGCTGTACTAGCTGACGTAAGTTTTCCACTGAGTGCTTGGCTACTGCTTATATCTCTTTTCATTGCAATTGGAAAAGAGAAACTCTTTCTGCGTGGCTTTGAAATTGTGGGATAATTAATTAGTCTTCACCAGTTAATGTCAGTTCTTATTTCCTTTGCAGGTAAAAAGAGAGTTGGAAATTACGAAAAAAAAGGTCAGTCATTCCGAATTTACAGGAATATTCCATATGCAAATTATTCATAATGATATTCACTGACTGATTTATTTATTAATTATGGATTATTCCTTATTGTTCTATTGGCATGTTTATTATTATTTCTTTATTCTATCTGAGTATGGAGGGAATTCGTTCAAAGGAATTATCGACTTTCTTTCCAAAGGAAGAAACCGCCGTATTTGTCCGTCTACAAAATGTTACATACAAATATAAACAATTATTTGTTTTGTGTTATTCGATACCTGTTTTGAAGGCGAAAATACAGCAGAATTCTGGCTCATCCTTAATGGAACTGTACACATGAGGGTTTTTGATTTTCAAAAACAAATCCTTAAACTGGATCGGAAGGCAATAAAATGAATGTAAATAATCGTTAGAATTTTAAGACGGTAAGAGATCTTTGACGCTATTTCTCGAGAATCCCTAAAGGCAACACCTGGTCTAATTATAGACAGTATTTTTTTTTTTCAGTTGTTGTTCTGTTGCTGTTGCATCTGCTCGTTTTCTTTCAATTTCCACTTTGCAGAAGTTTGTCCAAAAACCACACGTTTTTTTTTTTAATTCACAAAAAATTATAAGAATACTGAATACATTGAGTGTATCCAATAAATTCATTGATATTAACATGTAGAGGACAATTAATGTAAAAAACTTCAGAAAGCAGGTTATGTTTGGTAATCTCAGGCAGCTGGTGTTTCAACCAGAAACAAAATAGCTAGAATTTTGAAAAATTCGCAGAACACTTCTATAAGAATGTCTGCGAGTATGCATGATTCACGTGTCCAGTACTTTAAGAGGCTGTCTCTCTTATTTCCACCCGGTCAATTTTGCGTCAAAGATAATTTTGCCTGAAACTCTGTTAACAGAAAGACTTTACCTAAGAAAGAACTAAATTAGATTTGGTTTGATTCGAAATAATTTTCTGACTGCATTACGGGCCATAATTATTTCCCAGTCTGTAGGGACCGTCGCAACGTCTCGAAAATTGAAAAATAGGCATATTTTGTAATGTTGTAAAATATTTGATTCGCATAGTTAAGCCACAGAATTTATATCAGATTGCTTAAAAACCTTTCTAGTTTGCCAAGAAAGTTAGAATTTGCCCTCTCAACATATTTGAAAAGGCGAATTTTAGCATATTCCGACCACTAGAAATCGCCATCGGCCGATGGCCGTAAATAACCTTGATTTAGACGCTAAGTTTTGGGATTTGGGACCTGGTTGACGATTATATCCTATACAGCCGTTAAGTTTAGACCTTTATAGGCAAAAATATGCAAAAACCCCTGTACGTTTTCGATTTTTCAAAAGTTATGACCGTTTGAATCAGCACATGTACGAGCATTCGCGATTTTTTCGCCTACACCAAAATCGAACCACTGGAGCAGATTTCGTCATAAATACAGCTTACCCGCTTTGCAGCCCAGCTTCATGGCTCACTTCAGAATTTTTCTAATAACCAAATTGGTGAAATCCATGATAACTTCAACAAATAGCTAGGTATTGCCTTCGAAAAGTAGGCGGCATCCATCGTGATTCGTGGTATCAAAACAAATGTCGGAATTGGCCACATTTCGCGGTGAATCACCCATTTAACATCGCTGCAGAGCTGAATTTTTTCCAAAATCAGAATATAAACTCTCTATGTCTGGAAGCTGAGGGAGAAATGAAGGTTTTAGGCTTCTGAAGTGAAGAAATAATCGCTTAAATTTAGATCCAGTTCGATGTTATACTGTTCTCACAAAGGTCCGCACAAAAGAGAAGACCGCTGATAGCTTGTGCCGTACGTTGTGCCATATGGTTTTGTTTTGTATCCCAATGTAATATTTGGGCAGAAAAATTTTGGATGAAAAGAATAAATGCTTTGACCTGGAGTTGGATATCATATAATTAATAAATCAATTTCAAATATCCTGAGCTTGCTTCTCTCGGTTCCGCGTCGATTGTGTCCACAGAACAGCAACCTGTCAATAGCCGGAGAAATTGGCTACCAACGTGTTAAAAACTTGACACATGCTTCGTATGAACAGATGTTATAAGTGTTGCTTTTGGTAAATTTTCAATCGATTTCATCAAAACATTTCACTGACTACTAGATATTATAATATATTACACTATAACAACGCCGTCAAAACTTGATATCGGAAGTAAAGGTAGTTTGTATCTGTAAAGAATGTGAGACTTTGATCTCTTGGTTAACTTTGTCTACCAGATCTTATCTCTCGGAATTTTCCTGGACGCATTGGATATCTTCCTCCTCATCCAGTGATATCCCGATCACACCCTGATCTTTTCGCCGCATTGCTGCTAGCCGGGAGAAAAAGCTCTGAACTTGGCTCTTTGTCAGCCACTGTTCTCTAGTGAACAAACGTGCATTTGATTCATTTTTCGCATTTCGCATGTCCACTGCAACTTGGGCGGGGTCGGCCTTTCGCCCAGTTCTTTCTCCAAGTGTAAACCGTGCCGTTAGGTATTCTTTTACCTTCTCTGAAAATCTAACGCTGCCCCTTGGTTTGCTTACGGCCCATCCTGTTCGTAAAGACGAGTGGGGCGAAGTATCCACGGGAGAAGTGAATGGTGTACTAGAATCTAACGAACAGCTCGAACACTCGATACCAGCGGTATCTATCGACGAGAACTTAAGGGCCCAGTCCCTTTTGATTGCATCATACTGGCTTTAACCTGCTGACTGTATGCTTTCCAACGTCCAGGTGCAGCTCCAGCTGCGAAAAGGTTTCGAACACTTCAACACATCCAAACACAGAGCATTCAAACAATGGCGTTGTACTCTCTGTTTCCTTGCTGCCCTTTGAACGACGCTTGACCACACGCTTTTCAGGAGGATCATAAAACCCTTGAGATTCTATGGTTTGAAGGGACGTTTGACCTTGGTGCTTCATACAAATTACGTCATATGGAATGTACTTCCCTTTACCGATGCCATAACATTTCTAAACTCTCAGACCGATATCTCCATATTCGAAGCTACTAAAATGCTCAATCTTATTATACAGAGAGTGTTCTTTGATTCGTCTACTATTCTTACTGCAGCTGTTGTTCCCTTCACTGGGTGTTTCGTCAATGCGTATCCTCTGTCCAATGAAAGCTTTAACAACCTCGCTGAAGACTCGCTACAGACTGAAGCCTCCCTGGTTTCGAAAAAGCACTTGCATGCCATACTACACTTGCAGGCCTTCCAAAAAAAATAAAGGGTCAGCGGGTTCACCCGCAATGATTAATGCGGACCTCTGTTATGCGCGATAGTGCAATCGTTCAGCTTTAAATTCCAAAACGCCAAACTTCGACACATAGACTTACAAGTGGAGTTCTATGACTGATTCTTGAAGAGAATGCAACTGCAATCCAAAGTTTCAACGGAACATTAAGCGCGAAACATGGCTTTAGTTTTCGAGTTTAGTTCGCAACAACGAGTCAAAGAAGAGTATCGACAGATGCCGACCGCTGAATTTTGGAGGTATTTGCTGGAGTTATCAGGAAATCGAGGAATATCTGAAATTTCACATAAACCCATGATTTCTCCGGCTATTGACAGGTTGCTGTTCTGTGGACACAATCGACGCGGAACCGAGAGAAGCAAGCTCAGGATATTTGAAATTGATTTATTAATTATATGATATCAAACTCCAGGTCAAAGCATTTATTCTTTTCATCCAAAATTTTTCTGCCCAAATATTACATTGGGATACAAAACAAAACCATATGGCACAACGTACGGCACAAGCTATCAGCGGTCTTCTCTTTTGTGCGGACCTTTGTGAGAACAGTATAACATCGAACTGGATCTAAATTTAAGCGATTATTTCTTCACTTCAGAAGCCTAAAACCTTCATTTCTCCCTCAGCTTCCAGACATGGAGATTTGATATTCTGATTTTGGAAAAAATTCAGCTCTGCAGCGATGTTAAATGGGTGATTCACCGCGAAATGTGGCCAATTCCGACATTTGTTTTGATACCACGAATCACGATGGATGCCGCCTACTTTTCGAAGGCAATACCTAGCTATTTGTTGAAGTTATCATGGATTTCACCAATTTGGTTATTAGAAAAATTCTGAAGTGAGCCATGAAGTCGGGCTGCAAAGCGGGTAAGCTGTATTTATGACGAAATCTGCTCCAGTGGTTCGATTTTGGTGTAGGCGAAAAAATCGCGAATGCTCGTACATGTGCTGATTCAAACGGTCATAACTTTTGAAAAATCGAAAACGTACAGGGGTTTTTGCATATTTTTGCCTATAAAGGTCTAAACTTAACGGCTGTATAGGATATAATCGTCAACCAGGTGCCAAATCCCAAAACTTAGCGTCTAAATCAAGGTTATTTACGGCCATCGGCTGATGGCGATTTCTAGTGGTCGGAATATGCTAAAATTCGCCTTTTCAAATATGTTGAGAGGGCAAATTCTAACTTTCTTGGCAAACTAGAAAGGTTTTTAAGCAATCTGATATAAATTCTGTGGCTTAACTATGCGAATCAAATATTTTACAACATTACAAAATATGCCTATTGTTCAATTTTCGAGACGTTGCGACGGTCCCTACAGACTGGGAAATAATTATGGCCCGTAATGCAGTCAGAAAATTATTTCGAATCAAACCAAATCTAATTTAGTTCTTTCCTAGGTAAAGTCTTTCTGTTAACAGAGTTTCAGGCAAAATTATTTTTGACGCAAAATTGACCGGGTGGAAATAAGAGAGACAGCCTCTTAAGATTTAAAAAAAACTACTTCTCATGAGATTAAGCCATGATACCCTCAGGCAAGCTTTAATTTCAGCAATTACAGTAAAGAAACTGGAAAAAATTGGGACTTCGACGGGATACGAACCAGTGCATCCCAGATACTCGTCGGGCGCCATTACCAACTGAAGTGCAAAACCACCCGTTGGGTTGAAGCAAACTTAGAGGATTCTTCTTTCCCGTGGACACTTAAGTTTCATATGTCCTGAAGATTGAAATTAAATAAAGTCACGATCCTCGCAGATGAGCGGCAATTTTAGCAATTGCGGAAACGAAGCCTAGGCATGGGTTTTAGAGGAAACCTCTAAAATTGGCCTGGCTCCCAATGTATGGCTTCGTAGCTCCGTTGGTAGAAGCCACTCAGAGCCAACATGACTTCTAGCTGGAAAGCCAGTTGAATGTCAATAGTGGTTAGAGAACAAATGAAGGGCGATCTGAGATTGTAAATTAAGGACTAAAATATTCAGAGAAGGTATAAACACAGTGCACAAGCTTTATTCTTGAAAAGGCTATTTCATTTCAGGTTGATCAGGAGTTTAAAAGAATTCGGCAAGATGTAAAGCAGACAGAAGGAAGTTTGTTGAATAAAACGAACGCATCTCTGCAAGAATTCGAAAACAAGGTATAATTGGGTTAATCGTTGTTATTGCTGTTATTGTGGTTGTTGTTTTCTCTTGGAGAAAGGTAGAAGAATTCCTATTAGCCCTCTACCCTTGGGGCAGGTCAGTTCTATTCAGGGCCGAAATGAATAATTGATAAATCTACCCAAATCAAGTTTTTTCTGACTGAATATCTTGGTTTTCGCCAGATTTGACCTCTGTATGAGTCGCCAAACCCTCACGACTAAGGAAATTTAATTTAAGGCATCTTTCAGCGCAGTTTTAATTCAATTAAAAAAATCGATGACTTGCATGAATTAATATTTTGAACTGATAGGTCAACAGGGAAATTAGAGTTGTTTCACTCAAGCTGAATAAAACAATTGTCCATGGTGACTATTTATCTTCTTCACTGGAATCACAAAGGAAAAACGTAAGCATACGCGTTTGCAATATGTATTTAATGAATGCCTTCATTTGATCAAATCATAACCATTAGGAGAGATTTATTTATTTTCCTAGTGAGTCCCTCTGTTGAAAATTGAAAAATTACACTGGTTGTAAGGCTCTTATCCTGCTCTCCCTCTCCATCTTTTAAAATATATATCTGCATTTATTGTTCGACTTCGCTAATCTGGTATTACGTCAAAATTCTTGTATAACTGCTTAATAAGATATACCTTTCCTCATTTAGATAACGAATCGTTTTGGAAAACTTGAACTTAGAGTTAAAATGGAGGAAGAAAAGTCTAGCAATATTAAAAAAAGTTCGGTAAGTCACTAAATGCAGACGCCTTGACTTTTCACTGAATTACAAGTGTCGGTAACATGAGTGCAAGTGTGTGCAATACCTAACACAAAATCATCTTTTATTCTGAAGGATCGCCACTCCGAGTTGATCCAGCACTTGACCAATATGCTGAATGACACTCGGGAAGATATGAGGAATATGTCTCAAGAACAATCCATGGCCTTGGAACTAGCCCAAAATTCCACAGTTAGGGAACTTCTAGGAGTTCGGATGTTGGTGAACTCAACGCAGACGATTCTCTTGACACAGTTAAAGAAAGTGCATAAAAACATGACTGAAAAGGTGCCTTGTTTTCTATTGCTTGTTCTACGGTTTAAGATCATAGGACATTATATAACATAGCTAAGCAGGTGTCCATTTGCTCCTGAGCTTACTTATCACTCCTACTGAAACACCCTGCTTTTTCAACTTTTTTCTAAGCATAACATTCAACGAGACTAGTAGGGAAATAACAATTAAAAAAAACAACTTAGTTGCCTTGGCATCGCCTTAGGCCAGCAAATCAACCAGTCAGCATAAAATGATCCGCTTAATTTACTTATATGTCAAACGTTGCCACTACCTATTTTAGCCAAGAACCAGTTCATGCTTCTAGATCTCCAAAGTATGTCATTGTTGCGTCTTTTAGGGAGCCCATAATTTTCACCCAATGGCAGACCCCCTTTGTTTTTTATGTCTTTATTTGTTTATTTATTTATTCGTTCATATGCACCCTTTTTTTTTAAAAACGCAGGTAACAAAGGAAACTGAGAAACTTGAGGCTAGAATAAAAGTTGAGGAAAACAAATCAAATAGCACAAAGCAGGTCACGGTAAGTAGTTAATATCTTTTTTTTTTTTAGTGTTTTCCCAGTTTTGAAAAGGTCAATAGACCATTGTTGCGTATAAGAGTAAAAAATGTGCACCTGAAATATTTTTTTTGCCATAAACATTCTTTTTTATTTTCCGAAGGATCAACACCTCAACAGGATTCAGCAAATCGAGGAATTGCTCAACATTACTCGTGAAAACATGAAAGAAGAGTCCAAAAAGTATTTCACCGCGCTATGGTTGGCAGGAAACTCTACAAAAACGGATCTTCAAAGTATAAGCATGGTTTTGAATGAAACGCGTGGTAATATTGTTAGACAGCTAAAGGAAGTGCAAGACAACTTGACTGAACAGGTACATTATCTTTGTTACTTGAATTTAAGACTGAATGAACCTCTCTCTGACCACTCCATGTGAGGGTTATTACACATAGTATTACTCTAAGATTATTGACTCAGAAAACATCTCAAGCTTAGGTAATTCTACACAGGAATTAACGACTATAACAAATACGAAGGTCTCCGCTTCGTCCACAAGAGCTTGTCCCAGTCCCCTTCTCCAAAAACATAGTGTGTCAATCAGATTGGATTAATAAAAAAATCAAATAAGGAATGTCCATTACTATGATCAGAAAGATGCTATAAACAATTTTTCCCAAGCGTGGAGTAAAAAAGAACTTTTCGTGAGAGTTCGAGCCACGAACCATGCCCTTACAAGATCCTATGCTCTACCAAATGAACTAAAGAGAAGGGAGTTTTGATCCGGTCATATGCTGATTTTACGCGTAACAGGCACCTTGTGTTCTGCTGAGATCAACATTGACGACAGCATTATGTAAGAGAATAAATAAAAAAAAATTAGTGCACCGTAAATCTTCAAATGTCATAAAAAATAAAAAAAAACAATTAATATTTCTAAATTTGATAGCTTCGGTGCCTTGATCGACCAAGAGGATATCTTTCATGGGTTAATTTATTTCAAGTTTCTCTGGTTTATGGCACGAACTATTCGCAACAGATCCAGCCAAGCAGTTCTTTTCGGTTCTATACAGCAATTGTTGCTTAAGAATAAATCAAGTGGTTTAAATGTATGTGTATATAAATGGCTCTTTATTCATCAACTATACATTTATCATTTATTGAAGAGACTTTGGCGAAGTAAAAAAACGCAAAAAGGGTGAATTTAGACGTACGTATTATTTTCCTTTTTAGGTCAAGAACGTTAGTAAGATGCCGGGTCCTATCGGACCTCCTGGCTACAACGGAAGTCAGGGGCCTGTTGGTCCCCAGGGAGCCGTGGGTCCCGCTGGTCCTAAAGGATCAGGAGACTTTAGTCAATGTCAGTATGACATAAAAAAAGGAGATAAGATCGGTGGTAGCGATAGGATACTTGTACATTTTGATGAACCAACAGTAAGTGCATCTATACTTTACATATAAAAAAAAAATACGAATAGATAAATAAGCAGAAAAAAGGGATTTCTAAATATAACCTGTCTTTACCCCTTTTAGATCTCTTACAATCTAAGACTACAACCTCAATTACTAGGACTTAAACCTAATATTTCTGACTCAAGCTCAAGCAGGAGGATGTTGAGCGATCTTGCACAATTGCTTTTGTGCTGTGAACAAATTTAAAAGATTAATGTAAGGCCCCGTCAATTAGAAACAAAAAGTCAAACTAAGATCGCTGGTAGAAATAGGATACTTGTACATGTTGATGAACCAACAGTAAGTACATCTACACTTTATATTTAAAAAAATATGAGTAGGTAAATGAAAGGATAAAAAAGGTAAATCAGTCAATGTCGGTATGAAAGGAAAAATGGAAATAAGATCAGTGGTAGCAATAGGATATTTGCACATATTGATGAACCAACAGTAAGTACATCTATACTTTACATTTAAAAAACTACGAACTGATAGATCAACAGAGAACAAGGGATCTCTAAATATAACCTGTCTTTACCCCTTTGATATTTCTTATAATCTAGGGTTACGACCTAAATTACTAGGGGACTTAAATCTTATATTTCTGAATCAAGCCCAATCAGGAGGGGAGGGTGTTGAATGATCTTGCACAATTGCTTTCGTGAAGGGAAGAAATTCAAAATAGTAATGTAGTGCCTTTCCTTTCTTACATTAGAAATTTTAGTTATAATGTACACCCACCATCATATCCTGTCGCTTTAGTGTACTTAATATGATTTTATTTTATTTTGATTGGCTGAGGTAATTGCATTTTTCGAATAATATAGACAACATTTCGAAAATGTTTCTTTCGGTCGAACGCTGTTCGCTCGACCAAATGCACAATCGTATTCGTAAGGTTTGAATGGATTTTGCGTGATTCACGGACTTTGCCTCTGTAAAATTGAAAAGCTAACTCTTCTTTTTTTCATTTATATTATTAATTATGATCTCATAATTTTTCTTATCTTTTTTTTGTGGAAAAATCAATCGAGCTTATCCAAACCAAAAGACACTCGTAATGATGTGATTGCTAGTATAGATAACATAACAAATGTGTATTTCTTTGTTTGTTAACAGAATAAAAGGATAATGGCAGTAACATGCTCAACGGATCACGGCACTGAGTATAATCTTGTATCGAGTGTACAAAGTGGGAACGTCCGGAGATACGTTTGCGTCTGTGATGGAAAATCCACACTTTTCAATGGAGGAAGTTGTTGCTACCTGCACTATTGGATTTGCCCTTTAACAACGTAATTACTGTAACCTTAAAGATATTGTCCATTTCAATAGAAATCATTTTTTTTAGTTATTCAGAGCGGCTGCATAACGCTAAGAGAAGAATCGTTTAATTAGATTGAATATGTAGCAAGAACTAACTGGTTAAATCACCATGTTTTTTTTAGAGGACAAAATATTGAATTTATTCCCACATTTCTTCAAATGTGCACTAAGGTGCATCATCTGTGGACAAAAAAAGTGTTTTCTAATGTTCTTTATGGTGAAATAAGAATTAGAAGTGAACTAAAGTTAAGTAAATCCATTTACTGAAATAAAATGCGTGCTTTTAAAACGATTGTCTGTAGGTATTTAACTACTATTACGTGTCTGCTAGTATGACGTTATAAATTACGCGACTGGAGACTATTGTCTGTAGTCATGACGTAACGATTAGTACCATTAACAAGCAGCATAGAACGTGCAGTAAATGGCAGTGACACGAAAATAACAATTAAGAGATTTTTATTGTGTCACAATTGATTTGGGAGAAGCCCGAATCTTCCATCATCCAAAGGAATCGAGAGCGCTTAGAATTGTTTCTGCATAAATCTACTTGTAGTTCGAATTACTACGAGAAAAGCTCGAGTTTTCTTTTTTTTGTGTGTGTACAAGGTTTCATACCGTACTCAGCAACTATCACGGAATAGATAGCGTGAAGCGTGCCCATGCAGATTTCAGCATTTGTTAAGGGGCTCTAATAGATTTCGACATATACATCAATACACACAATATATATACATATATATAGTTGTTGCTGCGACGGTTTCAGGCATAAAATTGGCTTTCTAAAGATTAGAAAATATTACCGATTCTACCATTGCTGCATGTGACCTCTCTTCTGATTTTTGACACCTTGAAAAAAGAAAATTCACGGCCGCTTCTTGGTAAATAAGGGTTCCTTCTTGAAGACGAGTTATCGAGTCCTCTCTATTCTAACTACTACATAAAAACCCGGAGAACAACAGAAACAGCAAAATCACACTATTAACCCAACTTTTGCATATCATTTTTGTTTCAAAAGGAGGAAATCACGTCGAAATGATATGAATAAAAAATGTAGAAGAAAAGTTTCTCTCCGTAACTAGCCCCTCTCCTTCCATCCCGCGTCCTCCACGTTTCAAAACGCTTTGCAGCCCCTGGATTGGGATTAAAGTTCTCTTACACGATTTCCACAATTATAACAGTCTTGTTGTTGGTATTTTTGTTGTTGTTGTTGTTGTTGTTGTTGTTGTTGTTGTTGTTGATGATGTTGTTTTAACGTCAATGAAAAAGAAACCTCTGGGTTACGATTCACCACTAAAAGGTGAATCGTAACCCAGAGATGGGTTTTAAGTAGAGCCAGAGACCTCCTTTAATTTGCTCCACAAAGTAACCTTGAAATTCAGGGATGATCTGGGTCACTGAGCGTAGTGGGAAAAAATTTAAGGGCATGCCTTCTTAAAAACGTAGAAAGGCGAGGCCAAGGAAGGAAATCAAAGCAAAATTAAGTTTTAGTTCCATTCTTTATTTCAAAATGTCAGGAGTTTTTGGATAATACCTCTCATCAGCAGTAGCAGTACTTAGATGAAAGTGTGAAAATCTATCAAAATAAAAATACTGGCGTTCGTGTGATTTAAACAAAGTTTACTCGTTGTTTAACCCTTTAACCCCTAGGAGTGACTGGCACCTAATTTCTCCTCACAAGATCACCATTGAATAAAACATTAAGGTCATGAGAATAAGGGAACTAATAAACAACTAAAGAAGCTCTTGATTGTTAAACAAATTCTCCTTTACAGAACCTTAATAAATGTACAGGGAAAGTATGGAGAATATGCATACTGATGTCTGGGTGTAAAGGCTTAATAAAACCGCGTCCTAAAAAATCCTCAATTTAGCTGGACCTTTAATATGAACATTTATTTTTGTGAACATTGTAAAGATGGGTGAAAGCAAACCATGGAGAACAATCATTTAGCTAAATTAACCATCTTCTGGAGAAATCCTAAGGCCCATTGGTCAAAACCGTGCTTTGGGTTAGACTTCATATAAATAGCCCGCGCGGTAGGTTTTGAACAGAGATGAGACGAAACGTTTGCTTCAAATTGTTTCTCCGGAAGGCGAAACGTTCTGTTAAAAGTATGGATGGAATAAAGAGATTTATCACCAAAGTTTCGCAGTCATCATTTATTTACATCGATTTCCCTCATTAATGTTTCTTTAGGAAACTAATGAAAGTGTAGAGAACATTTACATTTCGAGACTACCAACTGCAAAATTGGGATCACACTTCGAAATTTTCTATTAATATTTGGCCAACTATGCACACCGTCATTTGTAATTTTATATTTTCTTTGTATTTCTTTGTCTTTTCGTTGTCGTTTCGGTCTGAATTTAATATCCTTTGGACCAACTGCCCACTTATGAAACATGATTCAAACACATTGATATTATCCGGGATTCCAAGATATCGATCACTAAATTCCACACCAGCTAAAGTGCCTTTCAGTCTCTGATTCCTATCTTTCTGTCTGTTTTGCACCTTCCCTACACAACTGTAAAAATCGAGGCTGAGTAGATTTAATCATGCAAATTATATACAAGGAAAAATATGTATAAAGCCGAAGTTTCAGAAATGTAGTTAATTATGTTGTTAAAGGGCAAATCCAGTAGTGCAGGTAGCACTTAGTTCCTCTATTGAAAAGTGAGGATATTCCATCACAGGTGCAAACGAATCTCCGGACGTTTGCACCTTGTGTTCTCGTTACAAGATTATACTCAGCGCTGTGATCCGTTGAGCATGTTACTGCCATTACCCTTTTATTCTGTCAAAAAATAAAGAAATACACATTTATTATGTTATCTATACTGGTAGTCACATCATTTTGAGTGTCTTTTTGCAGGCTTATAAAACGTCCACAGAGTTTTTTCATTCCAAATTTGCACGAGAAAAATCATGAGATCACAGTTGATAATATACATAAAGGAAAGATGAGTTAGCTTTTCAATTTTACAGAGGCAAAGCCCGCGAATCGCACAAAATCTATTCAAATCCTACGTATACGATTGTGCATTTGGTCGAGCGAACAGCGTTCAATCAAAACAAACATTTTCGAAATGTTGTCTATATTATTCAAAAAATGCATTTATCTCAGCCAATCAAAATAAAATAAAATAATTTTAAGTACACTAAAGCGACTAGATGCGATGGTGGGTGTGCATTATAGCAATGATGTCAAAGGCGAGAAAGGCCGGGGCCTTACATTAATCTTTTAAATTTGTTCACAGCACAAAAGTAATTGTGCAAGATCGTTCAACATCCTCCTGCTTGAGCTTGAGTCAGAAATATTAGGTTTAAGTCCTAGTAATTGAGGTTGAAGTCTTAGATTGTAAGAGATCTAAAAAGGGTAAAGACAGGTTATATTTAGAAATCCCTTTTTTCTGCTTATTTATCTATTCGTATTTTTTTATATGTAAAGTATAGATGCACTTACTGCTGGTTCATCAATATGTACAAGTATCCTATCGCTACCAGTGATCTTATTTTCTTCTTTAGTGTCATACTGACATTGACCAAAGTCTCCTGATCCTTTAGGACCTGCGGGACCCACAGCTCCCTGAGGGCCAACAGGTCCCTGGCTTCCGTTGTAGCCAGGAGGTCCGATAGGACCCGGCATCTTACTAACGTTCTTTACCTAGGAAGGAAAAACAACAAATTACATATAATTTCAACCTTTTTCCTTTTTTTTTACCTCGTCAAAGTCTCGTCAATAAATGATAAATGTACAGTTTATGGATAAAGAGCCATTTATATACACATACAATTAAACCATTTGATTTATTCTAAAGCAACGATTGCTGTATAGAACTAAAAAGAACTGCTGAACTGGATGTGTGCGAACAATTCGTGCTACCAACCAGAGAAACTTGAAATAAACTAACCTATAAAAGGTATCCCCCTGGTCGATCAAGCCACAGAAGTAATCAAATTTAGCATTATTCATTTTTTTTTATGACATTTGAAGATTTACGGTGCACTCGTTTTTGTCATTTATTCTCGAACATAATGCTGTCGTCATTGTTGATCTCAGCTGAGCACAAGGTGCCTGTTACGCGTAAAATCAGCATATGACCAGATCAAAAACTACTTCTCTTTAGTTCATTTGGTAGAGCATAGGATCTTGTAAGGGCATGGTTCGTGGCTCAAATGCCCACGAAGAGTTTTTCCTTACTCCACGCTTGGGAAAAATTGTTTATAACATATTTCTGATTATAGTAATGAGTATTCCTCATTTTATTTATGATCAATCCTATCTGATTGACACATTACAATAATTATATGTTTTTGGGGAAGGGGACTGGGCCAAGCTCTTGTAGACGTAGCGGAGACTTTCGCAATATATATGGTCATGTTTCTCCCTCTACTATAACATCACTTCCGGCCCTTTTCGAGGCATGTGCTTGCTTCATCGTTAATTTATGTGTCAATTAACCTTAGCTTGTGATGTTTTCTAAATCAATAATCTCGGAGTAATACTAAGTGTAATAACCCTCACATGGAGTGGTTAAAGTGAGGTTCACTATGTCTTAAATACAAGTAATACAGATAATGTACCTGTTCAGTCAAGTTGTCTTGCACTTCCTTTAGCTGTCTAACAATATTACCACGCGTTACATTCAAAACCATGCGTATACTTTGAAGATCCATTTTGGTAGAGTTTCCTGTCAACCATAGCGCGGTGAAATACTTTTTGGACTCTTCTTTCATGTTTTCACGAGTAACGTTAAGCAATTTCTCTATTTGCTGAATCCTGTTGAGATGCTGATCCTTCGGAAAACAAAGAAGACTGTTTATGGCGAAAAAAATCTTTCAAGTTTCATTTTTTACTCTTATACACAATAATAGTCTTTTTACCTTTTTAAAAACTGGGAACACACGATGAAAAAGATGAAGATATTCATTACTCACCGTGACCTGCTTTGTGCTATTTGATTTGTTTTCCTCAATTTCTATTCTGGTCTCAAGTTTCTCAGTTTCCTTTGTTACCTGAGTTTTAAAAAAAGAAAGGTTTCATATGAGTGAATAAATAAATAAAGACATGAATAACAAAAGTGACTGCCATTGATTTAAATTGTTTGTGTTCTGTCAATTGATTTCCTCACACAGTTTAAGAAAATTCTTGGATTTTAAAATTGAGCAATCGTGGATTAATGTAATGAATACTGAACGCTCAAGCTAAAACCAAAACCCCCCAAACTAGAAATTATGAGCTCTCTAAGTGAAGTAACAATAACATATTTTGGACATCTAGGAGCATTAACTGGTTCTTGGCAACAATGGGTAGTGGCAACATTGGGCGCATAAGAAGATTAAGCAGATCGTTTATGCTGAGTGGCTGATTTGCTGGCCTAAGGCGATGCCAAGGTAACTAAGTTTTTTTCTAATTGTTATTTTCTCTTTAAGTCTCGCTGAATGTTATGCTTAGAAAAAGTTGAAAAAGCAAGGTGTTTTAGTAGGATTAATAAGTAAGCTCAGGAACCCAATGGACTCCTGTAAGCTATGTCATATGATGGCCTATGATCTTAAACCGTAAAACAAGCAACAGCAAAGAAGGCACCTTTTTAGTCATGTTTTCATGCATTTTCTTTAACTGTGTCAAGAGAATTGTCTGCGTTGAGTCCACTAACATCCGCACTCTTAGAAGTTCCGCAACTGTGGAATTTTGAGCCAGTTCCAAAGCCGTGGATTGTTCTCGAGACATATTCCTCATATCTTCGCGAGTATCATTCAGCATATCGGTCAAGTGCTGGATCAACTTGGAGTGGTGATCCTTTAGAAAAAAGATGATTTTGTGTTAGGTGTTGCACACACTAATGTTACCGACACTTACAGTTCTGTAAAAAGTCAAAGCGTCCGCATTTAGTGACTTACCAAACTTTTTGTAATGTTGCTAGACTTTTCTTCCTCCATTTTAACTCTAAGTTCAAGTTTTCCAAAACTATTTCTTACCTAAATGAGGAAATGATGTGCTATTAAGTATTTATACAAGAATTTTGGCGTAGTAGCAAATTAGCGAAGTTGAACAGATGTATATTTTCAAAGGTAGAGAGGGAGGGCAGGATAAGCGCCTTACAACCAATGTAATCCCAAAATTTCCAGCAGAGGGACTCACTAGGAAAATGAGGAAATCTCTCTTTATGGTTATGATTTGATAAAATGAAGGCATTCATTACATACATATTGCAGGAGCATACACTTACGTTTTTCCTTTGTGATTTCAATGAAGAATATAAATAGTCACTACGGGCAATCGTCGTATTCAGCTTGAGTGAAACAATTCTAATTTCACTGTTGACCTATCAATTTAAAATATCAGTTTATTCAAGTCATCAAAATGTTTTTCAATTGAATTAAATTGGGCTGAAAGACGCATTGTATTATAAATGCCTTAGTCATGAGAGTTTAGCGACTCGCACAGAAGTCAAATCTGGCGAAAACCAGGATATTCAGTCAGAACAAAACTTGATTTGGGTACATTTATCACTTATCCATTTCGACCCTGAACAGAACACACTTGCCTCAAGGGTAGAAGGTAAAGAGGAATTCTTCCGGCTTCCTCCGAGAGAAAACAACAACCACAACAACGATTCATCGGATTACTACCTTATTTTCGAAATCTTGCAGAGATGAGTTCGTTTTATTCAACAAACTTCCTTCTGTCTGCTTTACATCTTGCCGAATACGTTTAAACTCCTGATCGACCTGAAAGGAAATGGCTTTCTCAGGAATAAAGCTTGCACACTACTTTCATACCTTCTCTGAATATTTCAACGGGTGAACGTTCTCTGACCTCTACTGATATTCAACTGGCTTCATGTTCTAGCTGGAAGTCATGCCGGCTCTGAGTCGCTGCTATAATTGTTTTTCCCAAATGATAATTGCAGAGACTCATATATGTTGATAAAGTGCATTTTTGTTTCACATAATCGTTGAAAATAACTTTGAATCATTAAGGTATTGGTTAACACTTTTTTTTTTAATGACCATTTGGCAGCATAAGATACTACAAACTGTTATAGGCGAAACTGTGTTTTAAAAAATGTGTTACTTTCTGGGTGGCAAAGTTGTGTGTGTTACCTTCTTGGTCAAGTTATCTTTTTCTTGTTTTGTAGTATTAAACACAGTCCAGACTTGTTTAAACTCCATCATATTAGTTGTTGTAGAGGAATTTAAATCTTCCAACACAGCAGCGTGTCCAACAGTTTGAGCTTGAATAGAGTCCAGGCGCTTTGTAAGATGTTTAATACTGTTATTCTACGGTCAGGAGGTAAAAAATAGCTCTGCATGAGACACTTAGATAGTTGATATTTTAATGGGACACTTGCCAAATCACCATGTTAAAAGGAAATAAGGTTCTAAGTGTCTACTAGATATACATATATGCTGACGCAGTAAGCATGGACTCTGACTATTTATTTTATATATGCATCACTATTAGCAAATAACATAAAACAGAAAAACTGAAAAGAAAACAAAACGAACAACGACAACAAAAGCAAGAAAAGACAAATGACCGCAGCGGCAGAGTGCCGTGGTCGAACATTTTTCAGTACTTGGTTAAGGCCCACATATTTCACTCGCTAGCTCTTTTACCTTGCACCCTAAATTTCTTATTTCGTTAATTTTTGATTACCTGAGAGGAGACTTCCTCGTGTAGTTTGGAAGCGTTGTGTCCTAAAAGCATCGTCTCCAAGTTTTCGATTTTTTTGGGAAGCTGTAAAAATGATGTTAAGCATTAGAACTCTGCAGTCTTATGCACTATACATGCACTATATCGAACACGTAACTATTTTTCCATACCTCGGATACATTTCTCGTCATCTCCGCCTGTAGAAATGAACAAGAGATACATCAGGCTGGTCTCATTGTAATCTTTGGCTAAAGAGAAATCTCTTCAGGTTACTACAATCCAGCTATGTTGGTCACTTCTATTCGACTATTAAAGTCTGAAAATGGCCCCTACATTAGATGACTTGGAGGTAAGGAAAGGTTTCATTTGTTTCCTGAATTACGACTTTCTGTCTTATCCGAGACGATAGGGCATTTAAACGGTTTAAACGACCTCCTAGTGCACACGAACTCGAATCTACAGCCACTGTAGTGAGATTTTCAATTAAGCTTCGAATGTAACGTGTGACTGTGTTGGCAGATCGTAACCAGCATATACACATACACTCAGCTAATCAGGAACTAATCTGTATAACTAATCTGTATTTCGCTGCGTCCTTGTTATATATTCATTCTCCTTGCGACCTCTACACTGCTACAATACCCTTACTACTTTGACGACACGCAATCGTAAAGCGCTCTACTTCAAAAATAGTATTACACTCGATTTCTTAACTCTCGCCCACGGTTATCTGCATGGTATAGTAATATTATGGTCAATATTAGTGAGCCAAATGCTTTAGTATAGAACCCAATTATTACTATCTTAAATGAAAATATCAATGTATAAGGACATCACCATTTTTTGGTTCAGCGAAGATAATTTTGTAGAGAACTTCTCGGACTGTTTCTCATCTGCCGTTATGGCGCTTTTTCTGCCAGGCCCTGAATGATAAGAAAGTAAAGCAAGAAAATGAGGCAGTTAATTCCAAAAGATGGCGAATTTTTCTCTTTAATATTTCATAATCAGCTATCTTGACGTAAAAAAAATAATTTAATCATTCTTTACTATTTTGACCAAAGCCTATAAGCGCATATAAAGCAATAGATGGAAAAAAAAAAGTACAATAAGATTATGAAAAAAAATTAATTTAAGAATTCTTCACATTAGAACACGTTAACATAAGTGGTTTTATTCTTTGGGCCCTCCAAATTAATTTGCTTTGTGAAGTCACCTCTTTCTTGTCAATCGTCAATACTTTTTGCATGCAGACGGGTTTGAATAAATGTATGGAATTGTAACTGGGCCAATAAGAGTTAAACCGACTATTTACCACCGTAACTTTAGGGCCTCGATCAGTCTTTGGATATGTTTGACCTCATGTCCATAAGCACTTTTCCATGGACAAGCCCATCTGGTGTTTTATGATTATTCATTCTTATCTCTAACAACTAGACCGACTGAAAATCGCAATCTAATGTTTTGCCTACTACTAAATAGTGGGTATTCATTTGCTCCACAATATTTTTAAATGACCTCAGGAATATTAGTTTCCAGTGACAAATCGCTTTCGGCAATTATCTATCTTTTGTCCTTTACAGTTTTGCAGAACTCAATTTGATCCAAATCAACTTTGCACCAAGTCGTTGAGTCGTTGAGACCTTAAGGGGAGCAAACGGTTTTACAATTAGCCGTTATGCGGTGTATGACAAGGAAAGACTTGAACAAGTTCTGTTTGAAAAGTTCAGGAGGTAGCCTACAGTCGGTCATTTTTTGGTAATATGCTCAGGACTACATCCTTTTTTCATTATAATTCTAATGTGATGATCACATTTTTTGATGTATGATGACACCAAAGCATTAGAATTAAAAAAAAATTAAATAAAAAACTTCAGGATTAATTATGTCCTAGAACCTCCCATATAGCTTACAAATCTTTTGAACTGGTCAGATCACCTACATTTGAAAATCCCCATTGAAAATCAATCCCAATGTTTATTCAGAGAGATCTGCACTAAAGACTTCTAAATCACCAACACTTACCCCATATAAGAGTTTATCAAACAAATACACCTGCGATGTCACATTGACTTAAACTGTTTAGATTTTAAACATCTTCTAGCTTTGCGCTCCCACTGACGGAAAGAGTGCCCCAAGGGTCAGAATAACTCAGAAACTTAACACCGATTCCTGTTCAAGATAGGTCACAAGTTGAGTCGTCGAGGCATGAGGGAAATGAATTCTCAAGGAGATTGATTTTACCCAGAGGCTAAATCTTTGTCTTCTAGATTCCTTTCATTTCACGTTCTGCAGTTACAAATATTTCACGTGATACAATAATGAGGAAAGATGTGATTTGACGTGTTTTGAACATGATTCATAAGGTTTATTTAGCCACTGTGGTCTTATGGTTAACATGGAAAAGTACGCAACTGGGAATCTTTATCATGCATTTGCTGTTCATTGACGGTTAGGCAATGGTAACATTAAGCGATTTTTCTCAAACTGCTGTTGAATAAACGAAAACTGCCTCTTTGTCCTTGGACCTAAACAAGTGATTCCATACACTCGCAATTGATATCCCTTGTAGAGATAACAACGCAGTGAATTATATCCCCATTTTTACAGACGCTACCTCTAAGGAGATTTATTTTAAGCCTCTAGTTGTACCTGGCACCTCGAGATACCCTCATAAAGATTGCTATTATTTGTTTTCAATCAAGACAAAAAAACAAGCAATTGCCGAAAGGGTGCAATTACATTCACATGGTTAACTCTGATTAAGTTGATCGAGGCAGATGATCACTTGCCATCAAGATAAACTAGGTTGATCGAATCCAAATGCAAACGCCGCTTGGAAAGCGGTCACTGGACCTGTTAACCTGTATAAAAATCCCTTTATTATAAACCTGCCAAAGATCTCATCCTATATGACTACACTTCACCCATACTTAACTCTGGCTTTCTTAAATTGAGCGCAGGGATTTAATTTTATTTCTTCGCTAAAATCCTCTAATCCCGGACACCCCTGAGTGCTTTGTGCGGCTTTCAAGAAATAGTCCACAGTTCAAGAAAGTGAGAGATGTTCCCTGAGCTGTTTCCATTGCCGCAAGGGAGTAGATAGGGCACCGGAACATTTCAAGACTGGTGCTGCGTTTTACATTATGTTGCGATATTCTATACTTTCATTGGTTATCAAACTAATAGCAAGGAAATCAGAGGAAAAAATAAAGTGCAGAGTACAGTAAACACATGCGGAGGTACTTTTGCTGCTGTGGGCGTTTACAAAACTGAATATTTCGCTGAAGCTTTGTGTTTATCACGGCTAAGCCTACTTCATTGATTGGAAATCAGAAGAAAAAATAAAGTGCAGTGTACAGTAAACGTATGCAGGTATTTTTGCGGCTGTGGGCGTTTACAGAACTGAAAATTTCACTGAAGCTTTGTGTTTATCGTGGTTAGCCCTATTTCGTTGGTTACAGTTATTATCTGTGTCGGAAATGCCTTGCCCCTCTTTTTGCGTGTCTGAGATACTAGTGCAATTCAAAAAGTATGTTCAGTATTAGAGCTGAACAGTGGTGGCAACTTCCGTTATTTTGTCTCAATTCAAAGAGGATGTCCTGTCTGCATCTGTGGTTTCCGAGTTCACAATGAGGAGGGGGGGAAACCTTTCTTAGTTACGCAGAAACTTTAATACAGGGTGAAAAATAAGCTAGAAAAGGATTACCAAAAAATGCTCGCTTGATAGCGTTATTTATTTGAAGCATTTTGATACCCAATTAAGAAATTCAAAAAGTTACTACTGCGACTTACCTTCATTGTCGCCGCAAGAACATCTTCCTGCCTCAATCGAGCCAGAGAGGATGAGAAGGGTCAAAATGAGAGACAAACATGATGTGAAACACACTAATCCTAACAGGACACTGACTGGTTTACTAAGCGTGTTTCTTTGGACAAGACTCTCTGTCTTCGTGCCTTTTACGTCCCATTCGGTTTGCCGTACCAAGTTTATGTTCTCTCGTTTAGTTACCCGGCGAGGAACGGTGTTATTTTGTGGTGATTCCATCACAGTCGGCACCATGTCCTCTTCTGTAGCAGAATCTAACGGATCGTAATGTGGTTGTTTGTAGGCTGGATTTACGATCAAATTTCTTGGGAAGGATTCTCTTCGATGGGAGATCGCTGAGTTAGGTCGATGTGGAATTTTTGTCTCTGCAACAGTCCAAGCTCTGCTAGCAGGGTGGACTCTGCCGGGGCGTATATACCTTGCCATCAGTAGAATGTAACTTTTAACTAAACAACCTTTCCACAAAAATACACTTTGGACGGAGAAGGTTGCGTAGCGATGTTTTTTGTGGAACACGATTCCTTTTGCCTAGTCTTCGGGAATATTTTCGCGAGCGCGGCAAAACACCCTTAAGCGAACCGCGCGAGGATAATGAATCGCTGACCCAAGTACCTTTCCATCGTCAAAGAGATAACTTATCATGACATCCCGACATTCTAAAAATGGCACCAGGTAAAAGGATTGAATTTGACAAGCTTCTCAATTGTCGCCAGCGCAGGATGAGCGGTATCAAGTAGCATGCAAGATATTTACTGAAGAATTTAGTGGGAGGTCTATTTCCAATGTGACGTGTTGACTCTTAAGCGGCATGTCTCTTAGAGAGAATGGATTTTCAAACGGCTCACGCTGTTTGTTTTAACCACAATAACAACTATTACTATTTGCCCACTTGGTCAAACTTTAAACACCGGAAACACGTATCAGAATTTTGATGCATGATGAGACTTTCAGCGTTTTCGTGACGACGTGGAAAGAACAAATTCTTAAGCGGAGTTTATCACGCACCACTTCTTGACACGTATGCAGGTGGACGAAGACCTTGTCAAGAGCGTTTTTACTTACTGACTTGACAAAGGTTTACCAAACATAAGCAAGTGGTACCCCTCTTTTAAGCCTCATTAAAGGACAAACTCTGAAAAAATCGCCTTTTTAATAGCTAGACCCAGTTATCAGACCTCCCGTATCGTGTTAAATCGAACTGTAACTGAAAAGGCAAGGGAAACTTCATCAAAAGCCATGAACTGAATAATGATTTTCATCCTATTTAAACAGTTCCTTTAGCAATATGCAATGAGCTTTATATGTAGTGTTTATAATCCTGATAAATTATCCCCTGTTTGTCTTACGGATTAAGCTACAGGGGGACTAGCCGTATGACTATAAGCTACTGCGTGCCGAAAGAGCCTTCTTACGACTTGAACTAATTGCTATGTCGCACTTGAAAAATCGTTTACGTCAAAATATCATGTGCTTTTCCTAATATTTATTTTAAAAAGCTCTAAACCGATACCTTTTATTTTGTAATCAAAGCGGAAGATCCGTTACAGGAACTTAGTACTTTAGTCGGTATACTTTGATGAATTGACTGATTTGATATCTTGAAATCAAAGGGAAGCTTTCCCACTGTTTAAGCAGCTTGGTATAAAGGGTTTACGTGCCCCTTCTTACACTAAATAAGTGCTTAGACATTCCTGCGTTTATAGGCAACATGAATGTTTATTCAAGCTCTCAGCCTTAGCGGCATGTGTGTATGACGCATTAGCAACAAGAATGGCTACGCAAAGATCAAGTAAGGAAAGAGGTTCTTCTTTACGCAATGAAGAACATTTGAAGGGTTTGAACGGGAATTTGATGATCGAATTTGGGGATAACAGTTATGGGCTAATGACTAAATATAGATAATTTTTCAAAGACAATTTTTCTTCTGCATCAGTTAGGATGGACCCAGCTATCCAAAGCTTGCTTGACCTGTAGATATGAAGGCCAAATGCTCCAAACGTTATTTTTCCAAATCCCCTTCAATCAAGATTCACTTAGTCAATGTCTTCTTACTTTACGTGGCTTTCACGGAAATTCAAAGAACACATTAGTTTATCTGCACCCTGGAGGAACAGGAAAGAGTTTCACATCTTCTTGTGAATTTCATTTCGGGAAGGAGGTCATATAATCCCTTTTATTTTTCCCAGAGTCGAATGTCAACCAGACATTTTTGTTCGGAAACTTTTGGACGGCGTTATCATGAATAGAGTCAGCTGAACTAAGCTTATTTTACCTATAGACACCAAGGGCAAATGCTGGAGAGGTAATTTTTACCAAATCCGCCTCAATCACGAATCGCTTTGTCAATGTCTTCTTTTTTTTTTTACGCGCCTTTATTGCATTGGCATTCTAGGACAGCTTGTTTTAGCTGCTTCTCGTATTAAGCGAAGGGAATAGCACGTGCAATTTCAGAGTCATGTTGGAATGTTATTTCTTGATTGTAACTGACTCAGTTGAGTATTTGGAATACAGGGCTTGAGTGCCCTCATGACAGAATGCCACGTCATTGTTTTTCAACTTTGCGTAGGTAGCCTAATAACGCAATTTTCTCTGTTTGTTTTCTCTTGTCCAAGTGTACGCTGACAAAAATACGTTTTTGAGTAGGTAAGAGATCTGTCTAAATTCCAAATTCAGACGTGATTTACCACACGTTTTGCAATGCATTTTTCATGAGATCAATTTAGACTTGAACGTGAATGAAAAGATATTGATATACAGTTTTATGTGTTCCTTTCTGTTTTCTCAGCTTGTGGATCAGTTATGACATTAGATATAGCTAAATCCATTTTTTTCAATTGAGATAGAGCTCGTATAAAAGATTTTAGTTTTTTTTTCTTATGTAATTTCATTCTGAAGAAACCTTGAAAGAGACGGGGAAATGTCACATTGAAATTACGCACTCTTCTAAATTAATTGTCCTACCAAAAACACGATAATGACGCGTGAAAATAGTCGCTCTTGCCTTAAAACTAGAGAGGAGATCCAACAGCAGGTCAGGCTACAACTTTCGGATACCAAGATTCGAAAATTATACGCCCAACAGCAAAGAGGACATCAGCAAGAAATACAAACTCAGATAACAGGTGAACGCGTCAATACATCGAGCAAAATCAAAGGAGAAGAATCGCTGTGACACCAAGCAACTATGGAATCCGAAGGAAATTTAAAATGGCGGCAGCATGTTTCAGCTATGACCAAACGAATTTCAAACCAATTAAGTCTTAAGCATTCACTACAGCTGTAAGTTTAGGTTCGGAAAAATTACCATTCTCGACGTTTGTTGCTCAAATGTGGAAGTATCTTCTTTCTTTGTTAATATTTTGCCGAACATTCTTTCTCGAGCAAAAATTCGCATTTTTCGCAGCTGAAGAGGAATTATACTACAGGCCAGTATGCGACTGGCCTGTAGGCCTACGAATCCCGAAATAGTGTCAAAGAGTTAAAATTACCGAAATCCCTGTGTGATTCGTGTTATGAAGACAGAAAAAAAACATCATTCCACGCTAATTTCGTGATCTCAGACAGATTCCTAGAACAAAAAGGATTGCATGTTACGAAATCGCCTTTTGCTTTGAAAAAAATGGTAGTAACTGAGCACGAAAAATTTTTCGGATTTGACCCATTAATTCCTGAGTTCTTAACTTTCTAGAACACTTCTTTGAGATTAATAAGGTGTGAGAGGATTCGCGACGTCGCACAAAGGCCCTAATTGCATAAAGCGTAGGTGTCCATATCGACCATATGCTTTGACTGAATAAAAGTTTGTACAGAGAATTGTTTAAAATATAGAAAATTTCCTCAAAATGACGAAATTTATAAAATAATTGATAATTCCAAACACTAGACTGAATGTAGTAAACTTGAGCCACACACGTCTATACAAACTATGCCATACAAATGTACCTGATGATAGTAACTATAATTGTAATTTTCTGATTAAAGTATAATATCAATTCATATAAAACTTAGCTCAACTGAGTACGCGTCTACAATTGTTATTTAGATGAAAAATCAAAAGGGTGGCCGATTACGGTGTTCGAGACACGCTTTCACAGATTTGGTCTCTGTACCGACCGATGTCGCCAACTAAAGAAGATTATTTTTGACATTTTGACTTTTCAAAAAAAGCCTTCCTCGCCGTTCTACTAGATCGTTTTTCCTTGTGTGCTCAAATTCCGTAGTCCTTTTTTTTATAATGGGAATTCCGATGTTTGTTTCAGAAGTCGAATAAATGTTTTTCACAAATGTGTTCACAGCATGGTAGAGAAATCAGAGATGGCGTAACGACCACGATAAAAAGAAAAAAAAACCCTTGCGGGCGTAGCGTTTCATTTGGGATAAGTTTGTGGTTGCTTCTCGTTCATCTTTTGAAGGAGTTAAACCTGGTTTCTCCAGCTATTTACTCCTTTCGTCAATCCACACATGTCCATAGCTAACACTGTGTATATCCCAGTTTTATCTGGAATCTTTGCAGAAGGAGAACTGCTCCTCTATATACTATTGTCAAACTTTTTGTTTTCTTCCACGCAGTCTGACTGTATTTATAAATGACGGTTTTTGAGTCGAATTGGAGGGGTGGACAATGGACCATGCAAAAATTAGAACCAGAAAAGCAACAAAAATGAGCAAGAAGTATAACTATATTATATACGATGCATTCAGCGTCAAACTCCAGAATATAATTACCTATTCATCCCCTTCGATTTTCGCAACCCTGCCAGTTATGCCATTATTGCTCAATAGTTAACTCGGGCTCCTCAAAAATGCCGTAAATGAGACAAGTTACGAAATTTTATCCACGAAAGTTAATATATTGAGTTTATTCAAAGAATTCCAGGTACTGAAATCCTATCTCAATTGCTTTGTAAAGTCTTGGATGGATTAAAAAATATATAAATTTAAGATGGCGACGATACTGGCGGCACCGGCATTTTCATTTTTTCCGAAGCTGTCTCTAAAAATATGTTGAAGTGAGATGAGAGGATAATTTCATGGTATTTTGATTTAAATACGGCCAGAGCCAAAAACGCATATATTCGTCTATTTTATGACCCACTTCATTAACTCAGTCGAGAAAATAATTTGTGATATTTTGACTTTTGATCGCTTTTCCTCATGCGCACAAAGTCCATTAACAAATACTTTTTTCCTCGCGATGGGCATTTCGATCATTTTCCAGAAGTTAAATTTAATGTTTTTTTAAATGAGTTCACAGCATCATTGATAATAGATAGAGCAAGAATGGTACAAAGATAAAATTACTCGCGGACCTGTTTTTTTTTTGGTGTTTTTTTTTCTACCGTTACTTACCCCTACGAGGTCTTAGAAAGTTATATTCATATGTTCCAGTTTTACTTAGATTAGAGTAGAAATTAGTGAAAACTTTA